TATATATATGTGTGTGTGTGTGTGTGTGTGTGTGTGTGTGTGTGTGTGTATGTGTGTATGTGTGTATATATGTCTACACATATATTACACACACACACACACACTTCGTTCACCGTCTGTTTGCTCGTCATTGTTATTCTCTCTCTCCCTCTCTCCCCCTTCTTTCTTTCTCTCTGTCTGTCTGCCTGTCTGTCTGTCTGTCTCTCTCTCTAATAAGGAATAATTATACACTCCTGATACATGAACATTATCGGCAATAGCTTCCGTGATAATAAATAGAATATGTATAACTTTTTACCCAAATGTCGAACAAAGAATTTGTCAAAAACCAGCTTGACCAGAAACGCATAAATCTCCCCAAAAAGACATGGGCCTTGTTTTCCCATTTTCCTATTTTCTTTTTTGTTTCTTTTTGGTTGCCTTTTTATCTACCAATAAAAAAGACTTAATTGTACTTTATATGATGATATATATATCATTACAAAATGCTTTGCAAAAAAATATATATACATATACATATTTTTTTTTCATGTACGATAGTTATTTATTTAGGGCTATCCTTTCTCACGGAATGCGTATAAATGTATATGCATATATATGTGTGTGTGTGTGTATGTGTGTGTGTGTGTGTGTGTTTATGTCTGTATGTCTGTCTATCTATCTAGCTATATGTAAATCTAACTCTATGTTTCTATTTATATATCTATCTGTAAATCTATCTCTCTATGTTTCTATTTATCTATCTATCTACCTATCGCATACACACAAAACACACAACACACACACACACATACACACGCACACGCAAAACGCATTCACTCACATACATATATAAAACACACAACACAACACACACAAAAGAAACAAACACAAATACATATATATATATATATATATATGTCTACACATACACACAGTTATATATATGTATATATATACATATATATATATATATATATGTATGCATATATATATATGTATATACACACACACATATGTGTATATATCACACACACACACACACACACACACACACACACACACACACACACATACACATACACACATACACACACACACACACACACACACACACACACATATATATATATATATACACACACATATATACACATATGTATATATATATATATACATACATATATATATATATGTGTGTGTGTGTGTGTGTATATATATACATACACATACACACACACGCACACATACACATATATGTAATGTAAAATGTATGTAAAATATGATGCATTTGATGAATAGTTTGCAACCAAATATGCAATTTATTAGTTAACTTTTTTTTTGTAAAAAAGAAACAACGTTTTCTACGTACAACATATGTGTTTATTTTTTCCCATTGATTACAAATTTAGTTATATTTTTCTATTGGATACTCTTACAATAATAATAATAATAAAAAAAATATCGTGCAATCTGACGGTATGATTCTGATTTTTTAACTTTACACACTGAAACTGTATGTTTTATTATATTTACACATTTGTCTCTACCTTTTCAACCTTAATATTGAATTCATCAGCATGTTTGAGTTGACATTAATCAGCATGCTACCCTGATCCCTGCGAACTCCTGCTCTGTAACCATCTCAACATGTCTAGTACTTGTCAGCGGTTGTCGACCTGCCCGATACTCGATAATGAATCATAAAGCTACGGTATGTGTGCTTTCTTTGCTGTATGAATTACTTCACACTAATTATAATTGTAATATTGGTAGTAGCTCCTTTGTAATGCGTCCTCACTTCTGAACGATTTGTTTTGATTATTCTCGTAGTTACACGTGACAATGACACTCAGTAAAGAGAGAGAGAGAGAGAGAGAGAGAGAGAGAGAGAGAGAGAGAGAGAGAGAGAGAGAGAGAGAGAGAGAGAGAGAGAGAGAGAGAGAGAGAGAGAGAGAGAGGAGAGAGAAAGAGGAGAGAGAGAGGAGGGAGAAAGAGGAGAGAGAGAGAGAGAGAGAGAGAGAGAAAGGGAGACAGAGACGTACGTACATACATTCATACATACATACATTGACAGGTAAGTAGATACACAGTGAGTTATCTTACAAAGCTTGTCAGAAATGCTTTGTTGCTTGGAAAGTGGTTCGCGAATCTATCGAAGTACTTTGCAGGGGTCGCAGCCAAAAACGTTTGAGAACCCCTGTGTTAATAGACAGGATAAATAAGCATTATTATCTGTATTACTACTCAATCAGGATTTAAGTCTAAACGTTCTTAAAAAATGCTTATCAAACCAAAATATAAATAATACGAAAATGAGGTTATTGGCAGGAAACGCACACGCTTTAGATTATATAAATATGATTTTTCTAAATATTTTCCCCATCGTGTATATATATTACACACACACACACGCACGCACGCACGCACGCGCGCACCCACACCCACACACACACACACACACACACACACACACATATATATATATGTATATATATAACAAACCATCTTTTCTTTGTTATACAATCACTGCATCTATGTTGTTCAACTTTTAACTTTACTGCAGCTGCCATGCCCATTCGACAACCTAATAGGGCACGAAATAGGTAGCAAGGAGTGGTGTGTGTGTGTGTGTGTGTGTGTGTGTGTGTGTGTGTGTGTGTGTGTGTGTGTGTGTGTGTGTGTGTGTGTGTGTGCGCGCGCGCGTTTGTATGTTGGTTTAACAAATCCATTTTCATATACGTACTTATTGCAGTGTTTTGATATCAACAGCAATAACTGTAACCATAATGAAAAAAAACAAACAATAACAACGATGTAGTGATGTTATTAATGTGAACTGCTTCAGTTTTGTTTCATCCAGGGTTAGGTTATTTGTCATGATAAAATATATTTCCCTCTCTCTCTCTCTTTATCTATCTATAATCACATAACTTACCAAGGTTATGTGATTATAGTGTTATCATATCAGCAAGGTTGGCTTCGTTCAGAGCTAGAAAAATGTACTTTAGTTGGGATGAGTGGGTTAAGGGGGTGTGGTCCTTTGGGGGGGGGGGGGAAGCCAGTCCATGAGGAGGGTAAACAGTCTTGGAGGAGTAATTGCCCCCCCTCCCCCCTAGCTCTCCCCCAAATGACGCCCCTGTGTTTTAGACACTCCCCTCTTAACATATATAAGTTAAACCTTGTCGGAACTGCTATGTCACTAGAAGATATTGTTGAGAGGTGCTATCAGCTGGACAACATAGAATTATGAGCTAAAGTTGCCAGGGCCGGATTTAAGCAATATATTTACATCCCATCCTATAGCGTGATGGAATGATCGCTGTACTCACGTTTTAAGGCCAACCTAGGGAATACTCGTGCATATGGGTATTTATATATACACAAATAAATGCATCTTTATCACTCTACATATGTATATCTATCAAATAGATAGACATATAAATGCATATCCATAAATCAGATATGCGTATATCTCTGTGTACAAACCTGTCCATATATATGAATAATCATTAGGGACAGACCTTTCGCAATTTAACAAACCGACCATTAGAGCATTAGTACAGTAGGGTGAAGGCATTTAGGTGCTATTACTGTTAGAGTACTAGTGTATTTTGGTGAAGGATTTTAGGAGCAGGCACACTCACCTTGCCAGAGAGGTTTGAAAGACGTTACCATACCATTACTATGGGTGGCTACGCGTACCATACAACCTTAATGTCCTACTGTTGTTGTTTAAGTATATTCGGCCTGTAAGGAGGATTTTTTTTGTCGCTGTTGGTGAGTCCTTTGTTTTATAACTTTTTTTGCGATTGTTCTTAACCCGTTGAGGTCATGACTGGGTGGATAGTTTGTTAATGTTAATGATACCTGATTAAAAACGAAGAATCATGAGGCCAGAGCAGTAGTAGTAGTAGTAGGTAATTTGATTAAATTATAGCGAAAATTATTCGATGATAAAAGTGAGTTGCGAGAATAAGTAGGACAGTGAAAAAGGTAATAATGGTAGATGATTTTCAATAAAATTGATAATGGTGATTGAATATCATAACTTCATATTCAAGCACGAGGGTCAAGGATAAAAGAAATAGAGGACGGGATATGAAACACACACACACACACACACGCAAACGCACACACGCAAACGCACACACACACACACACGCACACACACACACACACACACACACACACACACACACACACGCGCGCGCACACGCACACAGACACACACACATACACACACACAAGAAAATGCGAATTATGGTGGCCGTACCAAACGCAAATGAAATATAAACTCTATCCCCTTTTTATCTGATAAACAGTAATGGAATGGGAAAGTTTTGGCAAACACGTCACTACAAATACACGAAGAATGTTTTTAGCTCATATGCTTGATTACACCAGAGGGGTGTAGTTATCTGTAGACAAATTGTTGAACTATTCATACTATAAATTATTCATATAAAATTATTTATACTACAATTATTTATAGATTTATATTCATAATGTTTTTTTTTTTCATACACAGAACATAAACACATATGCATATAAACATTTTTTTTTTTCATATATCTATATATCATTATTTCATTTTGTGGCATTTATCTTACAACTAGTTCATTTCGGTATTAATTAATCTTTTGTTCTTTGTAACTGATATAAATTTTACCCACCAACTATTTTTAAATACACTCTTGTTACGTAAACTTTTACTACAGAGTATGTACTCTTTTCTCCCCTTCTTTCAACAATGCAAACAATTATGACCCATATAATTAAAGCTTGTAACTTTATCACTACTTGTATTGTTCTGTCATTTCGTTTAGCTTTTCCTTTCAACTTAGAGATAATGAGCGCTACTGAAGTCACTGGGAACACTTGGTCGAACATATGTTTTTATATCACATGTGTTTTACACACACACACACACACACACACACACACACACACACACACACACACACCTGTACACTAACACACAAACCGCATATATATAGAAAGGTACTCACACTTTTCTT